ATATTATTAATTTTAACTAATTTTTAATTTAATTAGGATTGGCCTGAGCCGCCAGGAGGCAGTTCAGGTCGTTTGACAACTTATTTGGCGGGTCCAAGAGAGTGTTTCTCGGCCTGCGGACGCTATAGCGAGAAGGGAGTGGGGCGGTATAAGTAACTGCCTCACGAATAAGTGTGTTAGTATGCGACTCTGATACTTTAAAGAAGTTTTCAGAGAATTTTTTAAGACATTGCTGGATTGTTGGGATTTCTAAATCCCGGTGAAGGTCGGCATTACGGACGTACCAAGGTGCGTTCGTAGCTCGACGACAGAAGAGGTTTTGAACTACTTGGAGTTCGTTAATAATTTTATCGTTAGCGTGTGCAAAAATAGGAGCCGAGTAAGTCATAACCGGTCGTATACAAACCTTATAGAGGGTTCGCTTATTTCGTAATGACATTTTGCTATGTCTGCCTAACATACTGTTAAGCCGACCTAAATAGAAACGTGCTAGACGCGTTACTCTTTTGACATGAGACTCAAAAGTAAGCCTATAGTCAAGGGTGACGCCTAAATATTTTGCTGACATGTGCCATGGGACAGGTGTCCCTAGCATTCGTATAGGTGGAGTATTTTTCTTGTTTTTATTACGGCGTCTTTTAATATCGAATTGAACTGCGGAGCTCTTCTCCGGGTTCACATCGATACGCCATTTTTGGAACCAATCTCCTAGGTCATCGACTGACTTTTGGATCTTGTTCCTTGCTGAAGATATTCTAGGACTTTTGAAGTATAGTGCAGTGTCATCTGCGAAGAGTGAGAGCTGTACACCATTCGACGGGATAGGAATGTCGTTGGTGTACAAGATGTACAGGAGGGGAGCTAGTACTGATCCTTGAGGAACACCAGCTTTAATGGGGCGCTGAGAGGATAACGTGCCTTCGTGTCTAAAACGAAAGGTACGATGTTGTAAATAAGAGGCTACGAGACGTACTAGACGATCGGAGAGTCCTATCCTATATAATTTGAAAATAAGGCCTTCATGCCAGACTCGGTCGAAGGCTTTGGCAATGTCGAAAAAGACCGCGATTGTCTTTAGTCGACGTGGATAAAAACCGCTGAGGATATATTCCACAATGCGGTGTACCTGTTGTGGACACGAGTGTTTTGCGCGGAAACCAAATTGGTGTGGGATGACAATGGGGTCACCGTCTGTGGGAAACAGATGGCGCCTCATTCGATTTTGAATGACTCTTTCAAAGAGTTTGCCCATGGCCTTTAGGAGGCTAATGGGACGATGACTGGAGGGGAGGTTAAGAGGCTTGCCTGGCTTGGGAATACCAATGACAATTGCCTCTTTCCAAGAAGTGGGAAAGTAACTAAGATTAAAACAGGCGTTAAAGATAATAGCTAAGAGGGTTAACACCTGCTCTGGAAAGTATTTAAGGGCTTGGTTGGATATGCCATCCGCGCCCGGAGATTTTTTGGGCTTAAGTCCTTTGATGAGGGACGAGATCTCATCATTGGACACAGTGATAGGGTCAGAGGTTGTGGGGGGTGAGTTCCGGCGGCGGACCTCATCCTCCACTTCCTGAATATGTGAGGGGTCGACAGGTTGAGAGCTAGGAGAGCATTGTGCGGCAATGCTGTCTGCAAAGCACTCAGCCTTCTCGTCGTCCTCGAAGGCAACCGTACCGTCGGGGCGGGAGAGAGGGGGAGTGTGAGTTGTAGCGTCTATACGGAGGGCTCTAGCCATCTGATAGTACGCTGTATGTGAGGGAGATATATTCTCCATGAGTTCACTCCTTTGGAGCTCTCGAAATTCATAAAGGTGCGAACGGAGTTTTCGTTGAAGACGATTAGCCGTATGCCTATATTCGGGGGTGGGATATTTAGCTGCTCTCCGGAAAGCAGCTTTTTTAGCTTTTAATATGTTGCTAATATATAGGGGAAGCCCATTAGTATTAGCAACCGGAACGACCCTTTCATTCTCCTTAAGGGAGGATTTAATTAGGGTTGAAAGTGATTCGACCGCGGTGTCGATTTTTACAGGACTGTCTAAGTCTAAGTCCGACGATAGGTAATTAGGGGAGTCCTGCGAGTCCATAGCTTTTGCTAGTGAGTCCTTGAAACCCTTCCAGTTAGTGAAGGTTTTCGTAGTTATAATAGGGGGTGGCTGATGGCCAAGAATAAGAGAGACCGGTCGGTGATCGGATCCTATATCGTCTAGTGTCTCAATAGACCTGAGGTTGAGTGAAACTCCTTTGAGTAACGCAAAATCTAGTACATCTGGGTTATAATCGGTATTATCGGGATAGTGCGTTGCACCGAGCGGGCTGAAAACGGTTAAGTCAAGAGACTGCGTTATATCACGCAGTATCCTACCATTAGTATTAATCGTACGGCATGTCCATTCAGTATGTTTAGAGTTGAAATCTCCAAACATAATGACTGAATTACTTTGAGATAAGATTGCCTCAAAATCATCTTTGAGGGGGAGGTTTTTAGGGGGAATGTAACAGGAGGCTATGACTAAGGACTGATGTCCCGTCATAGATATCCTGCATAACGTAGCTTCCATATTGGTAAGCTGTGGAGTATCAATAAGAGAGCAATGTAGTGTCTTCTTGTAATAAATGGCCGTGCCGCCGCCTCGGCGGTCGTGCCTATCATTACGAAGAAGAGAATAATTTTTAATGGATAAGCCTTTATTGTCTGTGTGTTTAAGATTGGTTTCCTGTAAGAGGAGAAAATCAGCTTCGCGATCTTTAAGGAAGAGCTTAAGCTCTGGGAGATTATTACGCAATCCGCGAATATTAAATGAAATAAGCGATAGCCCTTTGGGCTTGATACGACCGTGACTTCTAGGCAGAGCAGAAGGCTCTGTCATTATAAGCTAAGTTAATTAAGTTAACTTAGCTTACAACGAACGCAATAAATTACTGTGTTCTGCGAGAGCCAAAAGCCGGTCCTGAGGGGATCGGGCGGCGCGCAGTTTACTCGCTAAAACCGAAATTTCGTTAATGTCGATGTTCCTTATCGCGGCGTAAACCGTGTTAAAGTCATCGCCTATTGTCGACTGTTTCTGCTGCGGAGCAGAAAATACCTGTGGCGGTGGATCTACCTTTTTGGGGCCCCAGGCAAAAACTGGAGCCTGCATAGGCTTTGAGAAGCCCGGTGGTGGCCTAAGCGGTGCCTGCGGTGGTCTCGGGGGACCCTGAGGGGGTCGTGCAAAGCCCTGAGACGGCTGAGATACGCCCTGACGGGGCTTCCTAACATATAAGGCCGGGAATGAACGGTCATTTACCGGCGGTGGTGCCTGTCTTGCTATGCGCGGACGAGGAGCGCACGGGCATCCTCTGTAGCTCGCCGGGTGGCCTGTCTGTTGACACAGGACGCACGCGGGCGGGGATACGGCATCTTTAGGCCGGGGACACTCTTTGGTGATGTGTGGATCTAGGCACTTAACGCACCTGGGTGGGGCGGAGCAATTGGCCGCCGCGTGACCATATAGTTGGCAGCGGTGGCACTGCGCCGGAAAACCGCGCCTATGCGGTGACTCAACCCTAACTCCCGACAAGCCGCACACCGTGCGTACTTGCCGGAAGATGGTTTGCGCCTCCGGAACGTTGGTTAAGATAGCTAAGACTATCGGGTATCTCAACCCGGTCCTACTGTGCATTTTATGAACAGCTTCGACGGGGAATCCTTGTGACTTAAGGTCATCAAGAATCTCCTCGTTGGAGAGTTCGAACGGGACGCCTCGGATGACGGCCTTGACTTTACGCTCTTCCGGAAGAGCGTATGTATGGTATGATACTCGTTCGTTAGTAAAAAGCCTAGTGAGTCGGCGAAAATCTTCAATAGATTGGGGAACTATTTTTATCGCTACGCCCATGTTCGTAGCTATGTCATATTTAATTCCAGAGTCGTAGCATACTTTGCTCAGTCTAGTGAACTCGGCCTTGTCTCTCAAAAAGACAGGGGGCGGAACTGGTTTTTTCGCGAGTTGCGGAGCGCAACGTGAAGCCGGCTTCGACGGCGCTGCAATATCTAAGGGGGTCGAGGCAGCGGCGGGGGCTGCGGAGGTAGACGCGGCAGCGGCGGGGGCTGCGGGGGTGGGGGGAGCGGCACGGGCCGCTTCGGCGGGGGGCGAACGGTTTTTCGCGGCGCGCTTCGCTGCGCGCTTAGACGACACCGTGGTGTACGACGATGTATTGGAGTCACCGGTATCATCGGAGTCAGAGGACTCCGATGTCCTGGTGCCGGACTGTTTGGCAGGCCTCTTCCGGGAGGCAGATGTTGATGACGCAGAATCGGAGTGAGAGCACTCCATGTCGATTTCGAGCGGCGCGAACGAATTACGTGACGCGAGGTAGTCCGCTATAACGGGCGGCGGTGCCTGAAGGGCGGGAGGAGCCAGAAGGGCTGTGATGGCTGCTGTAAGAGCTTGCGGGTCATTATGAAACCTATGGGCTATATCGATCAGGGGACCTAATAAATTCTGCAAGGACATTGTCGTTGGGGACTAACTAACAACTAACAAACTAAAAATAAACTAAAAACTATTAGAACTATCGTATGACGTGGGGGATCACCGTTCTCAAAAGAACGGGACGCTCTTATTCCAAGAAACAGACCCCTGTTCTCAAAAGAACAGGGACTTGCTCTGAAAAGAGCAAGTAACGTTTTACAAGAAACAGATACACGGAATATAATAAACAGATATGTAATAAAATATACTAATAAACTTATACACTAGTATCTAGTGTTCTACAATATAAACAAGCGGTCAGCCAACCTCCCCGACCGAGGGCGGGGGGGTGAGAACTGAAAGTTAGCAGGAAAACACTTACCGGACTTCAGCGCTAGGCGCCCACTATCTGAAGAGCGCGAGGCGCGGAGCGGGGGGGCACTAGCGTTGGGACGCTAGGCACGCGAACTACCTGTACACAACCGCTCGGGGGCGGTGCAACAGGCGGAATGATCGTTATCAGCTCCTTGTTACTTCAAATACTTACCAGTAATTTGAATTATATTCGCGAGCCTCATGAGCGCGATGTCGTTGGAAAAGGTACTCGCATCCCAATCCGGGTGCACCACTATCTCGTCCACGTTGACTACACGACGTCCGTTCTCGTAGCGGTCGTATAACGAATGCGCGCCAAGTATTGCCTGCGTTCCAAGTTCCAACGCATATTACTCAAGTATCTTATCATTATTGACATAGAATCAACATTATTTCTGGACTTTCTTTTGTGAAAACGAATTTTAAATCTAGGACCATTTCACAACGCTCAAAAGAAATTCTGTAGGTATTACTTAGTCCGTGAAAAAAAAACACAATAGTTAACCATTTGAAATGCTCATATATGACTCACGAGACAGTGACATATTTAATAGGCCTTATTATTTATCGGTCTATTGATATAAAAAAGATTATAAAAAAAATGACGAACGAAAAACGTGGATTTGCTCTGGAACTGCGGCTGCAAATTCGCTAGTGATTACTAAAATATTTGATCTAATAGGTCAGTAAGCCTCTAGCTAAAAATTCCAATAGCGAAATAGCGGACCCAAAATTAAACACCATGGTAATTAAACATAAAATGTTATATTGGTACCTGGACGTGATCGACCTGGTGATCTTCATGGAAGCAGCAGTGTGCCGCCGTCAGAACCCACTCTCTGTGCACGAGGGAGCCACCGCAGAACCCTAGTTTGCCCGTTGTGCCAACTCGCAAGTATAAAGCTACCTAAATGTAATGAGACGTAAAAATTAGCAACCAATAGGAAATACTTTCAGAATAATCTGTTTGGGCAGCATCATCACCATAATCACAGGACATCGCAATTCAGATTATTTGTTTATTTATTTATAAATTTAATTACGGTAGGCAAGCAGATTTGTGAGCCCAAGAGTTATTCTCTTCTCTAGCAATGCTATACTCTCTCTGTAAATGTTGGCTTTGCCAATTTCTTTTGGGTATATCACCATTTATCAATCCCTACAGCCATATTCTTGTTTATCAAGATGCTCAGTTACAGTAAAGAAGATATGCGGGAAAAAGTTCTCAGATCTTCCTTACCCCTCAAAAACAGTTTAAGAGTGAAAAATAATTAAATCCGCCGACAGACTGACCCGTCTTGACATAACATACTATGTGTCACACCGCTACAACGACATATTATTTGTTAGATTTCAACCTAGACTACTAACCAACATAGTAATTAAAGTAGAATATCAGGGATTTATGGACTTGACCACTTTTGTAAGAATCATAAAGATTATGGTCCGACAAATTTCTAAATTAATAATATATTAAATAATTTATTTGATCCTTAATTAAAAATTGTGATTATCTTGAGTAATTTTATTTCTATGCTTGAGTCCTAAAAATAATCCATCAAAACTACTGAACCCAAAACCTACTTACCGGTGAAGGCACAACTTCAACACGCCTGTCGCTGTTCCTATTCTTCAATTTAAAAAAAAACACAGGGACGTTGCAGACTACTTTGTAGTTGAAGTTCGTTATTCAGACATTAAGTCCGAGTTCAGAGGTATTAAATGAGATTGTTTTCTAATTTTTGCCGGAAAGTGATTAAACTCAAACCGTCTCTTTACAAAATGTGGTAAAAAAATCTTTCGTGAGAAAGATTTCTTAAACTGTTTAAGAAATCTTTCTCACGAAATAAGTCCTTTAGCCGCTGTCTTTGCGAAATTATATTTCAAAGTTGAAGGTAGCCTTCGTTAACTATCAGCTATTAGGACTTCGAACACCTCAGTCCTTCCCCCCCCCCCCCCCCCCCTCTCCTCCGTAACTTTGGGTGCTGTAAATGAATGGGTGCGGGTTCAAATTAAACGCGACAAAACCAATAATAGTATTTTATTTTCTTTGCTCGTTATCCTCAGTTTTGTAATAAGACTGCTACCGTCTATCTCTGGCAAACTAGAATCTTTTACACGAAAGTAGTCCCGCGAAAATATACGAACTAAAATGTAAGGCTTGGATGTACACTATAGAATTTGACAGCAAATATCAAATTTTGGTGAGACAATGGCACCGCGGCTTAGGGACTCCTTTTGCAAGAAAGACTTCTTAAGCTACATTTAAAATACGAGACGATCAATAAACTAGAGTTAAGCTAAGTTAAGCTAGAGTAGAGGTCGCTGAACGATTAAAGTACTTAGCCTCGCACGCCTGACGCAGACTTGAGACTTCCAGCATCATGAACAAACTGGTTCGTAAAAAGGCTTTGTATTATGCACACAAAAAAGTCCTTCGATAAATAGTACCTATAAAGATCGAGGAGTAGAATCTGCCACTTTGTCATTCGCATGTGTCAAAAGCCTTTGATTTTGTCGTAATTTGCTCTGTGCTACAGTAACTTAGGGTTACGATGGAAATCCAAATAGAGAAACATAGTACGAAACCTATGCAACTGCAGAGAGGTGTAGGATAGGGTGACGTAATTCCCCGAAACACTTCACTGTTGCATTGAAAGACGGTTTCAAGCTACCACAGCATAGAAATGATAGTATAAATATCAATGGCGAGTACAACACGTTTTTACGTAGTAGAGACATGCTGCATATATATTAGTAGTATAGTTGTAGCACGAATGGGTCGGCTCGACCGGGGAAGGACCACGCTCTCACAGAATACCAGCTTAAAATAGCAGCTAAACAGTGCTGTGTTTCGTATGGTGAGTGTAGAGAACCGGAGATCCTTTTTACTGGAAAAGAGGCATTCCATCTTAGTCCTCATGGGTGACAACGCATCTGCATTTTGATTCGCAAACGAATCTAAAGAATCTGTCTATGGGCCACAGTATCCACTTACCATCAGGTGGACTGTGTGTTCGTTCGTCACCCTATCCTATAAAAAAAACAACACTCACCTTCGATTTGCTGACGATAGGATCATTAGGACGGAATCGCTGAACCTCAGCACTATGCTCTATAACATCAATCGTGTCTTCAAACGCATAGGGCTTAAGACGAACATGGACAAGACAAATTTGAACTTTTAAAGAATTGATAAATAACTAATTTCTAACCTGAAATGGTCTAGAATTGCGTTTGGTAATATCTCCACCCATTATTCTTCCATGTTGATTCAGGACACATTCACCATCAGCACAATTATCTAATGCGTTTGATGCAATCAACATAGAAAAGAACACAAACTTTTCAAGCATTTTCGAAAACGCTATTTTAGGTTAAAACTCTAAATAAAAATGAACCAAATTTTAAAATTATTGTTCAAGATTGTGAGAAAACGTTACTTATCTTGATATGTGACGATGTTATCGAATGTCATCAATGAAAGTAAATATAATACCGGCCGTATCCCATTTGCTATGATACGTAGAACTTTGCATTATCAGCGTTAGATAAATGGGTATAAATAACGCAGCAAAATCTTTCTTAGTTACATCTGCATGCATATTATGTACTCGTATGTTATTAATATATAATTCTATAGTAAATTATAGGCCAAAAATGCTGCTTCAAAATTCAAACTACCTACAAGGGTAATTTTTAGGACAATTGCCTGTCTTCTGAACACCGGTAGAAATATTTAATTATAATATTATGTACCGATATGGCAAAACAACAAACTCTAGACCATTCCACTTTTCAATTCTTTTTTAAACAATATTTCTTTAAATTCAGCCAGTTTGGCCCGATTTTACGTATTATTAATTTGCATTGTAAATCAGCATATTATGCGAAACAAAAAAAAACTTTTCATTCTGAAAATTAACGTTATACTGCGTGCTAGAGTATCAAAGTTCTCGTAATCTTGAATATGTGCAAATTTTGTTGCTTATCTATAAATTTTTAATGCCCAAAATTTCATCCAACCACGCGAAAATTGTGATATTTTTTTGGTATATATAACTATAAGCAGTTAAAGTAGCAAGAGGTGCACCGGCCTCCTCTCAATTCTCAATGATTAGGCAAGATTCCGCAATATCATTACAGCCGATCCCAATTACACTGCTGAATTACATAGTCCTCTCTCAAGGAATGTCACAAAACTTGTCATTACTACAATTAATACTAGTGGAGGGCCGTCCTACACTTTGCTTACAGATACCAGGCTCGAGGAGAAAGGTTCTCGAGTGGCAGCCTCGTACCGGTAGGCGAAGTGTAGGGCGTTCCCCCACGAGATGGAGTGACGACCTGGTAAGACATGCAGGAAGTCGATGGATGCAGGTGGCTCAGGACCGTGCTTTGTGGCATTCTTTGGGGGAGGCCTATGTTCAGCAGTGGACTTGTGACGGGCTGTAATGATGATGACCAGGCTCGAGCACCTTCCTTCCGCGACATTACAGTGCAAGTTGGCGAATTTCAATTCATGAAAATCATTGTCCTGAACAAATTTGCAAACAGTAGTTTCAAGTAAATCATCCTAAAAATTATTAAACACCTATTACATCGAATTTTTGAAGGCGTTGTCTGTGCAGACGAATAATAATTACTTATGATTTTTATTTTTATTCCGCAGCAGTAAAATCTTGTAAAACGTGTTCTTCCAGGGCACGAGTTTATCTTTGATAATTTCGCCTTATCATATACTCTGTGGCGTAGCTACCGAAGGACTGGGGTGGGGGGGGGGGGGGGGGCAGTACCCCTCGGTTCCCAAGCTCAAGGGGCCCCCAAGTTTAAGTCCCCTCGGCTTCCATGAAAAATGTTCGAAAAAGTTATGAGTATTTCGACTTTCAACTTATTGGCCCCTGACCTCGTATAACTTGAAGTGAAATCACAAAAATTTCTGCCACCTGAAGAACATAAATATAACATTGTTAAAATAAAATTGTCTACTTCGTATTAATGTCTTTTTTTTATAGAAGAGGGGGCAAACCAGCATGTGGCTCAGATGGTAAGTGTGAACCGCCGCTTATTAACTAATGCAATACCAGGGGAATTGCAGGTGCGTTGCCGGCCTTTTAAATATTAGTAAACTCGTTTCTTGAAGATCCCTAAGTAGTATCAATCCGGAAAAAATCGCCGGTGATAATCGGCTCCACAAAAAAGTCGTACGAAGAAGAATACATTAGTAAATTGCACAGTAGTGGACTGCCAAACATCCCCATGATGTGAATGGTAACGTGAGTTTTGTAGTAATATGCGTTGCTGAAATTTGGCGGCTGGAATTAATCCGAACTATTTTTCATAACACTCGCCGTGGTGAATACACTAGTAAATTCAAAGGGATGCAACATCTGTTCGCAGGGCCAGTGAATCGAGCCAATCAAAGAGAACTCGGTTGTGGACGATTCGAGCCGCTCTGCGCTGGTTGCGGTCAAGTGGAAGGAGCTGGCTCTGGAGAGCCCAGAGATGAGAACAGTATTCCATGTGAGACCGAACAATTTACAATTGCAATTTTACAAGACCTTCAAGAAAAGAGCTTACTCCTTTCTAAAAGGCCGGCAACGCAGCAACCACGTTTACGACATACGTTTGATACCTACTCGTAGACGACGACGAGAGACGTTTTGATACTCGTACCAAAGAGGCACTTGTTCTAGTGATCGTAAAAAGTGGAAAATTTGTATATTCATCTACTGTTAAAAATACTACGTATTTGGTGAAAAGTTTAAAAATCTCTCGTTTTATGTATCAAATTATTATGATGAATTTCTCTCAGAGTGTGAAATGGAGATTTGCAAAGTCAGTCTTTGTAGGATGTTTCAATTTAATTATCGCACATTTGTCACCGTACGCGCGTTTTTTATAAAATGCGGTAGATATCCGAATATTGAAGGAGGCATGCTGATGACGTCAAATAATGCGTCGCGTTCGGCGCATGCTCAGTGTTGCCTAATGTTGCCAACAGGATTTTCCACTAAAACTAAGGGTTTCGACTACCCTTCTAGTGGAGAAATATTTTTTACAGTGGCTAGTGCTTTTATAGTGGTTCAGTAGAGTTAAGTTTCAATTAGTGGCAAGATGATCACTCCATCATTACCCACTTACACGTTTTGAAATATATTTTTACTTCATTTCCGGAGTATTTATTTTTACTGTGTAGGCAATAATGAGTCGTCAGAGAAGACATGCGTAAGACGTTCCATCCATCGAATGCAAATGTCCGAAAAATCGTAATTCATCATCTAATTAGTCCTTATATAACGTATAGTATTTTCTATACAATTGCTTTTTTAAATTAATATTGCGAATCCAGAATCTTCTTTGTCTTCGAATTTTATTTTCTTCTTCCTCTGCCAATGAGCAGGCTATTACAAAAAATAAAGTAAAGTAAAGTAAATGCGGCGCGTACGATGCTGATAAATGTGCATTCACATTTAATCTCCAAATGTAATGAAGGTTTACAACTATGCTGAGCTGTAAGGTACGTTGGGGTAATAGATACCGGACGGATTTTCGAATAGTTGGAAGAGTCTACCAAAAAATTTAATTTCTCGACATTCGTATACGTCAGATTTATGGAACATGGAGCAAACCGTTAATCGTTAAACGTAGTTTAGCTCTGAGAATCTTTTGCTTGTGTAAACTCAACGGTTTCTGCTTTAAAGGTGTGCGAAAACTAGACGTACTTTTTTATATGCATAATGAAAAATTGGCCATTAAAGGGAAAAGACCGGACTTAAATTTAAAACCACTTCTACTGCTTAGAGAAAAAAGTTTATAAAAGAGATTTGTCGTATCTTTAACGCTCAAAAACATATTTCAATATGATCTATAAATTACTAGAAACATAAATGTTCCAAACGATTTTCTCTTTTTTTGTTTCTTGCCATCCGATCTTATCCCTGATATAAAGAAATTGTAATTTTATGTTTCTCAAACTTTGTTATGACAAGATGGAATTACTCAATATAAGAGAAAGATCGGATGCATTTGATTTTATATGGGAAAAAAAAATAACAGTAAGGACTGGCGAAATGCCCTGGGATAATGCAGGAGTTAAGGAAGATATAAATATTTTAACAAAGCGGCATTTATTATTATAAATTATTTTTTAAATAATTATTATAAATTACATTTTGATTTGTAATAGAGGATAGATATAGATGTCTATGGGCCGCAGCAATCACTTAACATCAGGTGGACTGTGTGCTCCTTTGTCACCCTTATCCTATAAAAAAAATGTATTTTAATGTGTACTTAAAAGTAATAATACCATCATATTGTTTTATTACTTTTAAATATACAGACTTGCTAACAAGACTGAGTTCCATAGTCACTTGAGTAATCAACGAAAAAATATACACGACCAATGAAAGTTTAACAACCACTGCCATATTTGTAACAGGCAAAGATCGGATAATATTCATCCGATCTTCACTCACGAGGGGAAACATCGGATCTCGGCCTACAGCGATCTTACCCCTGCATGGACCAGCTTTATTTAGCTATAACTTCATAAAAATGAGTATCCACACAAAATAATAACAAAAGAAGCCATATTCTCGCTAAAAATCTATACATATAATAAAACTGTAAATAGCAGATGTCTGTACATTTAATATTTTTGTAATAAAAGTGATTGAGGGGTACTAAAAATAAGTAATTAAATACATTTCTACCATTTTTAGAATTTTCTGTCTGTCTGTCTGTCTGTCTGTCTGTCTGTTTGTTTGTTAACGTATCACGTATAAAGTACTAATTTATATCATAAGAATTGTTAAGGAAATTATAAAGTGTATCTTCGGGTTACATTTAGTCTTTATTTCATTAAAATCAGTTCATTCCATCAAAAGTTATGATAAATATTCTGAAGTATGGGTAGGGAAGTATAGGTACGAATTTGCTCAACGGTGGCTTTGTTTGAGTCATCAAGTGCATTTTAAACTAATATCATATCATAAATCATAGTTAAATTATGTAAAATAATGATATAATTATGTATATCTAAAACGCAGTAAACAAAAGTAATAAAGAACGTATTAAATATATTATACAAAAATATATTAACCTTATTAACTAAATCTGAAGCACAATAGTAAACCCATTTCTTCGATAGATGGTGGTGTTGTGAAAATGCAATGCAATTGCAAATGTGGTTTTTTCCTGTAGATAGAGTTTTCATATTTACTGCTAATCTTTATTATATTACTCGCTGTCCTACTGCGTGTTGACAAACTCAATTTATTCTTTACCGCCGAGTACTCTATGTGGTAAATCAAATTTTAAAAGAGCTATTAACAATTGCATTGGTTTTGGC